ATGCGTGATACACGCTTAGGCGATCATGTATCTTTCGATACATGACTGACGAGGTAGATTTTTTTCCCGCAGTATGTTGTGATTTCTGCGGTAGACCAGTTGCCATCCAAGGCTATAGAACCCGGGAGAAGAAGGATATTATCACGTAAGTGAATGTAATGGATTCGACTGGGATTCGAACTCGGCTCTCCGATTCCTCAATATAAGTCGCTATCCATTACTCCACCGTGCCTCCGCTAGTTATCTAGAGCTCCTTGATAAAATCCAAAGAATCAGGAATTGGTCCTGATCTGGCGGTTACCCAATTTCGCTGTAATTTTTCAAATGAACTCTTCGATTTGCTACCTAGGCTTTTTGAATTTAAGGGCAATGCTAGACTAGCGTCGAAATCTGGTCAATTTACAGCCAAGCTGGCTAGGTGTAACCGCAAGTTCTATGCTAACAGTTTCTTTACATGCCCTTCTCGCTTGTGGAATTCTTTCCGGCTCCATACTTTCCAGTAAACTTTAATATGCAAAAATTTAGATACAATGTCAATTGCTGTCCTGTTTATTCTTTTTGTCCTCGCTCATTAGTAATGTTTCCGCTTCTAATTCTTCCATACCCAGTAACCCCTTGTCTTAGTGACTTTACTGCCTTGGATGGGGTGAACTCGATTATATATATATATATATATATATATATATATATGATATAAATAAAAGTGTAAAACTTAATATTAGTAGAATGTTTTATCGTACATTTTCTGTGTTTTAATTTAAATTAAATCTCCCGTTGAAGCCTGAAGAGCGGGAGCGAAACAGGTTGCTTCGCCTGTTTTTTTTTTTTTAAAGTCTAGTAATATTAAGTTTTTCACTTTTATTTCTGTCATTAAATTTTGTACCTACAAATATATATATATATATATATATATATATATATATATATATATATATATATGTATATATATATATGTGTGTGTGTGTGTCTTAAGATGTGCTATATTTATGGGATAAAGTGCTCAATATCAGAGACAGAGTGTGTAAATATAAGAGTGAACATAGAAGTCAACACTTAGAGGCGACAGTCTGTTTCATGCTAGATGCTATCGTCAGGCCTGAAACAGAGACTGTTGACTTCTATGTTCACTTTTTATATATATATATATATATATATATATATATATATATATATATATATATATATATATATATATATATATTAAATAGGGCAATATTATTTACAATTTAAATGCCCATTAAGGAATTTTTATTCCTGATCACTCAAAATTCGGAAATAATTATATAGTCCACACTACAACATGTTTGACACGCAGACTCACTCTACACCTTTCTGACCATAGCTCAATTAGATCTCATTTAAATATTCATGGAGACCTACCGGACACTATTCGTAACATATTTGTTGACAACATTAATATAACAGCATCATCTACATGCAAAAAAGGCTAAAAATAATGGAAGCCTCATTAATAAAAACAACAAAAAAAAAACAACACTTAATAATATTAACTTTGAACATGGACATAATATCTTGACCGTGTTTTGAAAAATGAAAACATTTTATAAAACATACATACAACAAACTATTTCTTATTTTAACAGTTAAAATATAATCCTTGAAAATGGCTAAATGTATAGCCGAAAGCGCTCGGATAAAAAGAACAGTTTTAAAATAATTTATCATGCGAAAAGAAAAAAATTATTAGATCCCATGAGAAACTAAATAAAAGCACCTTGTCTGTCGTATTCAATGAAATGTGCATGAAAGAACGATTGCTGCTTAAATACACAAATGTATGTGTGTGTGTGTGTGTGTGTGTGTGTGTGTGTGTGTGTGTGTGTGTGTGTGTGTGTGTGTGTGTGTGTGTGTGCAAAATAGGAAATTTGGATGCAATCATGATTTTCCTTATTTGAAGAGCGTGAGTCTACACGTGGTTACGCGTGAATACAGTGCTTTGAAAACACATTTCAACTATGTACGCCACGCCCTCGTGAGAGACTCAACTCGAGGAAGAGGAACGGATGTCTGCACATATAAAAATCCATGGCGGCGTAATAGTCGGCAGTTAAACTCAAAAATGATGTCCTCCAGATCAGAGGTTGGTTAATGGGGCGAATATGAATCTTAAATGAAAAATAATTAGGCACGAAGCGGATTTTTTTTTTGTTTTGTTTTTTTGAGCATGTAAACCAGGTCAGTTCGTGGCGAACCTTGTCGGGCCTATCAGTAGCGGGATTTAAACCGATTCTGATCGACGTCGAATCAAGTTTGGAGAAACGATTTATTAATGGAAAACTGGTGAACAATGCTCGAATTTCCGCTGAGAATAGTTGTTTTCGATTAGTTCAATTTCATTTTTTTTTAAATGCTATATCCTTGCCGGATGTAGGCGATCATGGCTCTCCACATATTGCTTTTCTAAGATCTGCGTACTGCTAGGCATTCTTGAGAAAGATATTGGAAGGGTTTTCCGTTAACTTCTTCATAGGTTTGAATTTGGAATTATCCTAATCCAAGAGTGTGTATGCGCGCGCTTGTGTGTGTGTGTGTGTGTGTGTGTTTGTGTGTGTGTGTGTGTGTATGTTGTAGTATATCCAATATTATGTATTTAGATGGATCAGGAACACATTAAATTAATGTCAGTTCCTTACGTTTGTTGAAGGGACTGTGAATGTCTTTTTTTTCCTTTTTATACACATGTGGAACTTGCTATTTTTCACCCCCTTTTGAATTTTAATTGTTTGTAATTAAAATTTATTTATTTTTTTTAATCGCGTACCAACTTTCCCTCCTCATTCGTTATACTGATTGTGTCTTTGATTGTTTTCCAATTTGCCAACATATACCATTGAAAAAGTGTTGGCCGAAAGGTACCTAAGTTATAACATGACGTCCGTTTTGTTTAAATCTGTGTTTTATTTCTATGGGTACAAATCACTTTATATATATATATATATATATATATATATATATATAAATGACAATAGGAAAACTGTAGTTATTGCTGACGCGTTTCGTCCAATGTGGACTTTCTCAAAGTAAAAAACGAAATGAATTTAATTAAAGAAAGTAATTAATAACAACAAAAAACAGAATGTTCTTATTGTCTTTTCTACAGGTTAACTCTGAAAAATTATCATATATATATATATATATATATATATATAAACAACTAAATTCCAAATTACCTCATGTGTGGAATAACATATTTGGATTTTATTGTTTATTAATTATATTGTTCTGTATTCATAAATACATTGAGCTTTGTTTCTACATCATTTTAATATTTTATCTTAAATTTTATCTTAGGATCCACTTGGATCATATAACAACGGATTTTTTTACCTTTACTATATATATATATATATATATATATATATATATATATATATATATATATATATATAGGCATGGCATTGCCCGTGCTTGATTCAAAATCGTACGACTCATACAGCAATCGCTATCACTTGACATAAAAAATATTTTTGCCCTTCCTTGCCTTTAAAGGAGTGCCCTTTGCCATGCTGATGTTGCTACATGCCTTACTTCTTGCCTATCTCACACTGCGAATTTTTTCTAAGCTCTATACTAAACATTAAATCTGTTAGGAAAAAAGAACTAAACAAAATGAACACAAAACGATCAGCTTTAAAAAAAAAAAAGGACTCGTAACTGGAAAAACCGAATGAAAAAAGAATGTTAACAACAAATACTTTTTCACATCCAACCCAGTTCTGCGGAATCAGAATCAACATTGAGTTTAAGCAAGCGAATGAGCCAATTGGAGTAAAGTGCCATGCAGATTTAAATTTTTCCCACTTGTGACGAATGCCGCTATCGATTTTTTTGCATGCTAGCATGGTAGTTAACATTCGTGTCAGTCAGCTGTTGGCTCTCACGCTGGCCAATAGAATCTTCCTGCCTATTCGTGGCAGCCAGCTATTGGCCCTCACTCTGGCCAGTAAAAAATGGCCGCAAACTACATGAAAGCTGCCGTAGAAGCATGAAAAAATCGATTATTTCCACTATCGATGGGAGTTGGGAAATGCAAAGTCGGTCTTGGCCTTCCCGCTAACTTGGAGCATGTGCATGTAAATTTTGGTGCAAATCCATCGAAAATTGCGGCCGTGCATTTGTGTTACACACACACACACACACACACACATACACACACACACACACATACACACATCCTGCCTTTTATATATATATATTTATTTGTTTAAACGTTATGGATATTAAGATTTGTGCTTTCCTTAAATAGATAATGACAACCTGTTACCGATTTAACGAAAGTACATATGATCAAATATAAGTAGTCATTTAAAAAAGAAAGAAAAAAGATTTCTCGAATATTCAGATGTAAATAGATAAGTAAACAGAACGCATCTCAAATATGGGTATCCATTAAAAAGAATAAAAATTAACGTATAAACAAATAAATTAAATATCTGTTGGTTTTAATACATTCCCCTAATATATCTATATATATATATATATATATATATATATATATATATATATATGTTTCATTAAATGTTATAGACAAGTGTTGTCTATTTTATGTAAAAAACTTGGTAATCCGTATGGGTTATCCCAAGGAGGATGATTGTGTATTTTCTTTAAGGCAAATGTTAGTAAATACAGACATTTTGTGCCGATTAATTTTATTTTTCCGCATTACGAATAATCCTTCTCAATTAAGAAAGAAAATCCGAAAGAAATTGTCCAAACCACATTTCGGAGGAAATCAGTATGAAATTAAATCTGTTTGTTAAAGTTGATCTATCTATCTATCTATCTATCTATCTATCTATCTATCTATCTATCTCAGTTTCTCCATATCTATTTGTCTCCTCTCTCTCTCTCTCTCTCTCTCTCTCTATATATATATATATATATATATATATATATATATATATATATATAAATATCTCAGTTTGTCAATATCTGCTTGTCTATCTTTTCTCTCTCACACTCCTCTCCTCAAATCGGGCTTACGGTTATATCACGTTGAAACATCGATTTACATGCGATAACCCAAGTTAAGCAACGTTGAGTTTGGTCAGTACTTAGATGGGTGAGCGTTTGAGAATACCAGGTGGTGTAAGCTTGGATGCGCGGTTGGTACAATGGATAACGGCTCGGAATTGGAAATCGGAGAGCTGAGTTCCAATTCCAGTAGGGTTCGTTATATTCACTTACGCGCAAATAACCTTGGGAATGGTATGGTTCCACCTCATCTCTCCCAGTTATGGGTTAAATAGTAAGGCTTTTATCAATAAGTCATTTATATCTCCACAAATTCTTAGAATCCGTAAAAAAAAATCGCTAATTTACTATGTCCGTATCTATCTATCTATCTATCTTAATCTGCTCATGATCACACTTTCTCTCTTTTTTCTTTCTCTGTCTATTCATCTCTACCTTTCTCTTTCTCTTTCTCTCAATCCAGCTATGTTGGTCTATCTATCTATCTATCTATCTATCTATCTATCTATGTAGTTATTATCTGTTTATCTTTCTCTTTCTGTCTGTCTGTCTTAGTCTGTCCGCATCTATCTATCTATCTATCTATCTATCTATCTATCTATCTATCTATCTATCTAAGGCTTATTCTGACAGCTTCCGTCCCACACAAAGGCCGACAGAAGACCTCTTCAACATCCAGACCCCATTTTAAGTTCTGTGCACCATAATCACCCCGAACCCCCTTCAATTCTAGATTCGCACTCGGGGCGTATCTCCTTACAAATTAATGTCCCTCGCGACCGATGCTTGTTTTTAGGGGTGGGGGCAAATAAATAACACCGACATCTTGTTCTTCGTCCGACATCACTGACATATTTCCCCGATGTTTCTCTTTGCCGGCGCAATTGTTTGCCACTCATTCGGACCCGCCCTTTTCTGTCTCTTTTCTTCACTTCTTCTCCCAGTTCCTCTGGGCCTTCAAGAAACTCCGGCCGCCAAAGACAACAACAACCGACACATTTCTTGGTGATGTTCCTTTTATCGTTCTTTTCTTCTTTTTTCTTTTCTTCTTCTTTTCCCTTGTTTTTTTTTATTCATCCTTTTCTTTCTTTCTTCTTTCCTTTGAATGTTCGCTACACACTCTGCCTTATATAATTCTTTCTTTCTTTCTTTCTTTCTTTCTTTCTTTCTTTCTTTCTATCTTTGACTTTAATTCTTTCTTTTTACTTTCTTTCTCTACACGCTCTGCCTTATATAATTCTTTCTTTCTTTCTTTCTTTGATTTTCTTTCTTTCTTTTTACTTTCTTTCTCTACACACTCTGCCTTATATAATTCTTTCTTTTTTCTTTCTTTCTTTCTTTTTTCTTTCTTTCTTTCTTTTTTCTTTCTTTCTTTTTACACTTTCTCTACACACTCTGCCTTATATAATTCTTTCTTTCTTTCTTTCTTTTTTGACATTCTTTTGATTTTCTCTCACACTCTGCCTCATATAATTCTTTCTTTCTTTTTTCTTTCTTTTTTTTTGACATTCTTTTTTTTTCTTTCTCTACACACTCTGCCTCTATATAATTCTTTCTTTCTTTCTTTTTTCTTTCTTTTTGACATTCTTTTTCTTTTTTCTTTCTGCCTTTAATTTTTCTTTCTTTCTTTCTTTTTTTGACATTCTTTTTTCTTTTTCTCTACACACTCTGCCTCATATAATTCTTTCTTTCTTTCTTTCTTTTTTTGACATTTCATATTTCTTTTTCTTTCTTTCTTTTTTTTTGACATTCTTTTTACTTTCTTTCTCTACACACTCTGCCTCATATAATTCTTTCTTCCTTTCTTTCTTTCTTTTTTTGACATTCTTTTTACTTTCTTTCTCTACACACTCTGCCTCATATAATTCTTTCTTTCTTTCTTTCTTCCTTTCTTTCTTTCTTTCTTTCTTTCTTTCTTTTTTTGACTTTCTTTTTCTTTCTTTTTTGCCTCATATAATTCTTTGACATTCTTTTTTCTTTCTTTCTACTTTCTCTTTTTCTTTCTTTCTTTTTTTTTTCTTTTTTTTTTCTTTTCTTTCTGCCTCATATAATTCTTTCTTTCTTTTTCTTTTTTCATTCTTTTTTCTTTCTTTTTTCTTTCTTTCTTTCTTTCTTTTTTTTCTTTTACTTTTTTTCATATAATTCTTTCTTTCTTTGGCATATAATTTCTTTCTTTCTTCTTTTTCTTTCTTTCTTTCTTTCTTTCTTTCTTTCTTTTTTGACTTTCTTTTTTACTTTCTTTCACACTCTGTCTCGTATAATTCTTTCTTTCTTTCTTTCTTTCTTTTCTTTCTTTCTACCTTTCTTTCTTTTGCCATGGCGTTCAAGCATCAGTTTTTATTTTTTTTTTTATTCTTTTTTTTTTTCTTTCTTCCTTTCTTTGTTTCTTTTGTTCTAAAATCGCCATGGCTTTCAATGAGTTTCATTTATTATATCCTTCATCACTCTCTTTCTCTTTTTTGTTCTGATATCTTTTTTTTTTGTCTTTTTCTTTCTTTCTTTCTTTCTTTTGTTTTGAAATCGTCATAACTTTTAGTGATTTTCATTTATTTTGTCCTTTCTGACTATTTTCCTCCTATTTGTTCCAACTTCTTTCTTTCTTTCTTTCTTTCTTTCTTTCTTTCTTTCTTTCTTTCTTTCTTTCTTTTTCTTTCTTTCTTTCTTTCTTTATTAGCACTTCTGTCCGTTAGTCATTTCTTTCTTTCTTTCTTTCTTTCTTTCTTTCTTTCTTTCTTTCTTTCTTTTTCTTTCTTTCTTTCTTTCTTTATTAGCACTTCTGTCCGTTAGTCATTTCTTTCTTTCTTTCTTTCTTTCTTTCTTTCTTTTTTCTTTCTTTCTTTCTTTCTTGTTAAACGATTATTCGACTAAATTTTTTTTTCTTTTTACTCATTCAGTCAAAACACTCGTGACTTATCTTTTTAAAATGTTTTATTCTCCTTTTTCCAAGGTTTTTATATATCCGTCTTTTTCATTTTCCTTCGTTTATTCATCTTGCATTTCCTTCTTTCTTTCATTTTTTTTTTCACTCCTTTCCTCTTCTTGCCGATTATTTTTCTTATTTCACTTCTGCTTTTGATATTTGCACTTTTTTTCTATTTTCTTTTCTTCACCTTCATTCTTTACGCCACGTTTTTTCTATTTCCTCCTTTTTTCACTTTTGTTAGTTTCTTTCTTTCGTAATTTCTTTCTTAATTCGCTTATATCCCAATGGCTTTCTTTCATTTGGTTTATCCTTCCTTTTTTTTTCTTCTTTGGTACTCATATTTTTCTTCTTCATCTTTCGTTCATTCTGCTTTTTTTTTTAATTTGTTCTACATATTCGTCTCGTCTTTAATTTTCCTTTCTTACTTTCTTTCTTCTTCTTCTTTTATCTTCCATCTTCTTTTCACTCCCATTAATCCCGTTTATCCTTTCCTCTTCTTTTTCTTATTTTTTCTTCTTTTGATATTTGTGCGTGTGGCCATTTCCTTTCTGTTAATATATTTTTTGCACCTTTTTTTCTTTTCTTTTTTTTCTTCATTTTTCTTCCTCCCTTCTTTTTCTCCTCTCTATTTTAATTGATCTTGCCACTTCTTTCTTTTTTTTATTTGTTCTTATCTTATTTTTATTTTTCTTTCTTTTTTTCTTACTTTCTTTTTGTTGTTTGATTCTGCCACATCTTTCTTTTTTATTTGTTCTTAACTTTTCTTTCTTTTTCTTTTCTTTGTTTCTTTTTTTCTTTCTTTTATTTGATTCTCCCACTTGTCTCTTTTTTTATTTGTTCTTACCCTGTCTTTCTTTCTTTTATTTCAGCCCCCCATTTATTTATTTATTTATTTCTTACTTCGCCATGTCGTTCAATATATTCTATCTCTATCCCATTCCTTATCGTTGATTCTTTTATTTGTTTATCCTCTTCTTTCTTTCTTTCTTTTATTTGATGCCTTCACTTTTTCTTCTTTCTTTCTTTCTTTTTTCTTTCTTTCTTTCTTTTATTTGAGCCCCCGATTTCTTTCTTTCTTTCTTTCTTTCTTTCTTTCTTTCTTTCTTTCTTTCTTTCTTACTTCGCCATGTCGTTCAATATATTCTATCTCTATCCCAGTCCTTATCGTTGATTCTTTTATTTGTTTATCCTCTTCTTTCTTTCTTTCTTTCTTTCTTTCTTTCTTTTATTTGATGCCTTCACTTTTTCTTCTTTCTTTCTTTCTTTTCTTTCTTTCTTTCTTTTATTTGAGCCCCCGATTTCTTTCTTTCTTTCTTTCTTTCTTTCTTTCTTTTCTTTCTTTCTTACTTCGCCATGTCGTTCAATATATTCTATCTCTATCCCAGTCCTTATCGTTGATTCTTTTATTTGTTTTTCCTCTTCTTTCTTTCTTTCTTTCTTTCTTAAAAAAATGTCTGATTTTCTACATGTTTTCTTTTTAAATCATTTACCTATTGTTTCTTTGTCTTTCTTTCTCTGCTCCTTTCCAGTTTTACTGTCTTTCTTCCCTGTCTCTCTCTCTCTCTCACTATTTTTCTTTCCTTAGTTCTTTCCTTCATTAACCCCTTACTCCTACCATTCATTCCTTTTGCTTCCTCATTTATATGCGTTGTTTAAAAAAAAAAAAACCCTCCTCCTCCTTCTCCCTTTCTTTACAAGTACTCGCTCGTTAGCGAAACATTATTCCAACGCGGGATAAGCAAATATTTAACGATTAACCTCACCCGATGTTGAAATATTTTTACAAAGAAATTATAAAGCTAAATATTTACAGATTTAAATATATATTTTCTTTACCTATGCATAGATCTTTGCGGGGGCGTGAACTGGAGCACCTGCTAACTATTTGGAAACTGAAAAGAACGCATCAAGTTCTACATCTGACAGATACTACTCTTTCCTAAAATCTCTCCGAGAAAAGGCATAGATCCAACATTCCCTATACTCTTTACTGTCATCAATAATCTTGATCATTCCCTGGTCACAAGAACGGCGTTTGGTTTGTCGAAGAAAACTGGAAATAACAATGCAAGTTTTCAATTTAAATCGAATTATAATCCTAAATCCCCATTTGAGGATTGACGGCATAAGTCATTGGTCATTGACGATATATTGATTAATTCGATGTAAACAAAGTCTGGTATAAAATCATAATTAAAGGGGTGTTTTTTAGTTTAGGATTTTATTTACTGCCAATGGCTTGTAAGATAAACAAACAGAAAAAATTATATATATATATATATATATATATATATATATATATATAGTCAGAGAGATAGTAAGTAACAGTAATATTAGCCGTTTCTCTACAAGGAAACATTTAGCATTAATTGGTCGTGCAGCCAGCACTATTGTTGGTTGAAAATTTATAAAAACTTTCTCAAAAAGTATTCTCTAGTCCACTCGCTTTTTCCAGTATTAATGGGGTTTCCTTCCTAACCTTTTGTTTGAGATGAATCCTGCCCGTTTGAATCTAGAGGGCTAAACATAGTTCTTTCCAGAAACACCGACGAATCTCCATATTTTATGTCAGGCTCTATGTCTTCGTTCTCCTTATACTCTGCTTGTCGTGTAGATTTATTTGATCTATTTTTCTCTGCGTGGGGCACGTGTAAATATGTATGTATGGTTTTGTTTTGTGTATGTCGTCGGGGTATAGAAGTCTCGCTGAGAAAAAAATCATTGTTATTTCTTTTTCTTTCAGCCATTTTGTTCCGTCCGTGAAATACAGCGTTATTATAGCATGGATATACTATTGCGCTTAATGGAGGAAATACAAATGGGAGAATAAACCTTTCTTCCATATATCTCTCCCATTTTATTAAATAAGGAACTCTACTACCATTTTCGATGCTAACAACAGGAGATTAACAGGCATGCTGTTCATGTTATTTTAGTCCCCAGCCACCTAGGTTCAGATATTGCGGCTTTTTTAAATGCCATCAGTTTCTTCGTGTTTAAGATAAGGAAATATAGTCAGGCCTTTCACAAGAGTGTGTCTTTAATGGACAAATGAAAAAAAATCATTCACAGTGTTTGTTGGTTGAATGATTTTGTTTAAAAGCAAATCAACATCTGTATAATGCCGAAATCTAAATAATTTGAATACAATTTTATGGCTTCAACTAAATATATTTTGAACGCAATTGTATGCCTTCAACTACAGATAAAATGTATTGTTGGTCATTTTGCTATAGATATCTACTGCTGGTAATTTTTTTATATATATAAAAATGTATTGCTGGTATTTTTAATATAAAAATGTATTTTTATACTTTCATAGTGTTTTGTTTGGGGAATGTCAACATCTTGATTATGTCATTATTTTCTTTTCGAGTTACATGTGCTATCCATTGTTGCCACTGTTAGTAGTTCTCAAGTGATGTGTTTTCTTTTATTTTGTATAGTTCTTTATGAAGCTGTAGCGCCAGTCCCCAATGTTTAAAGAAGGATTGTCTTTGCCAAGACAATCGGGCTTCTCTAGCTCAAAGCCTGTTTTCACCATTGTTCTTAGAAAGCTCTTTACATATTTCTGAATGGTGAATATAAAAGTCTCAATCTAAAAAAGTAATTTAAGAACATGTCTCGAATTTTGGGGTTGATTTTGGGGGTTTTCTAGCGATTTTGAGCGAAACTACATATGGCGTAGCTTATTCTCTGTCCAGTTTCTTTTTCTCCTCTACTAAATTAACTGATCCATACACTGAGATATCTGAAGTGTTTAGTATTTACTAATTCTACATCCTGAATGCTTATGATGGATTCAGAGTAGGTGCCATCAGTGCTTTTATTCCAATCCCAATTCATAGTTTCTGTTTTAGAAAGGTTTAACTTGAGTCCTATTTCGTGGAACACAGTAGAACATGTTGATTTTCGTTTCAAGATCATTTTTATCCCAACTATAAATATATATAAACTACAGGCAAAACGTTTGGGACCACCCTCCATTTCTTTAAAAACATGCCTAAAAATGAGATATTTTTTGTATTTTTTAAAGTAAAAGGCTCCATCCTTGGCCCCACTCTTTTCCTTATTTTCATCAATGACCTTCCTGAAGCTATAGATTCCCAAGTTGGCATCTATGCAGACGACACTACAATTTACTCCTGCCTCAAAAACAAATCTTGTATCGGCGACAAAACTAACCTTGCCGTGCGTCTTGAAATGGACCTCCAATCGGTTGTTAACTGGGGCAAGAATTAGCTGGTCAACTTTAACGCCACAAAAACTAAATTACTCTCAATTAACCACCATAGAGATCCTTCCCTGCCCCCCATTAAAATGTCTGATAGTCAACTTCCTGAGAGCAACTCCCTGCGTCTGCTCGGTCTCACGCTGACTGCTGACCTGAGATGGAACAAATACATTGAGTCAATTGCTTCTTCCGCCGCGAGGAAAGTTGGCTCTCTCTGCCGCGCCAGGAAATTTTTCTCCCCTGAATCGATACTTCAAATATACAAAACAACCATTCGCCCTTGCATGGAGTATTGCTGCCATATATGGTCTGGAGCACCTTCTGTTTACCTCGGAGTTCTTGACAAGATCCAGAGACGGATATGTAATCTAATTGGCCCTGATCTAGCGTCTTGTCTACAGTCACTCTCTCACAGACGCGCCGTCGCCTCTCTCTGTCTTTTCTACAAATACTTCCATGGTAACTGCTCTGATGAGCAGCTCTCTCTGGTTCCCAGACTCCATGAATTCAAGCGCCCTACGAGGCTGGCATCCCGCTCTCACCCTTACACCGTAGAAACCTTCAAATGTAGCCGTCTCTTCTACTCCAATAGCTTCATACCTCGCACCTCTCGCCAGTGGAACACCCTCCCCAATTACTGTTTTCCTGAAAGCTATAATCTCCAACTATTCAAATGTAATGTCAATCGACATCTCCAATTAACTTGATCTACCCACTATCCTTCTCCTCTTCCTTTCTCCTATCACTCTTATCTGCTCTCGCTCCAAATCTTCCGCAACCCCCTGCATCCTAGTGGCTTCACGCCTTGCTTGGGGCACAATGCTCAAAAAAAAAAAAAAAAAAAAAAAAAGACAAAATTTCAGTAACTACAGCTTTTGTTTTAACAAAGAATAAGTACTTAACTATAAAAAAAAAATATCATACAACAGCATCATATTTTGTTTTTCATCAATAAAACCACCACCTGCCTTAATTACTGCGTTGCAGATTCTTAGAATTCTTTCCAACAGTTTTTTTTAAACAAAGTTGATAGCGGACCTTCCCAAGTATTCTTCAAGCACTAAAAAAAGCTTACTCTCTCTCTCTCTTTTATTCACTTCGAACTCTCCTATCCAATTCATCCCATAGTAATTCACTGTGAGATAAGTCAGGAGATTGAATCAGCCAAGTCATATTGGGGATTTCTTATCATTTTTACTTTGTTTCACTTATTTTAAATAACTCTAACTTTTAGGCTCTAATAAGAAGAGGACTAGAATAAACATTTAAAGAAAGTGGTATGTGCGTATACGTGCATATATATATATATATATATATATATATATGTGTGTGTGTGTGTGTGTGTATATATATATATATATATATATATGTGTGTGTGCACGCGCGTGTGTGTGTGCGTATGTGTGTATATATATATATATATATATATATATATATACAGACAAAAAGTTTAGAATCACTCTGCATTTCTTAAAAAACAGCTTAAAATGAGATGTTTGTATTTTTTAAGCAAAGGATAACATTTCAGTAACTACAGTGTATTTGCTTGTGCTTTAATAAAGAATAAGCACTTAGCTATTAAAAAAAATATCATACAACAGCATCATATTTTTTTCGTCAATGAAACCGCCAACTGCCTTTACCAATTCTAGAAATTGTTCCCAACAGTTTTTGTAAAAAAAAAATTTAGATGGCAGACCGCCCAAGCATTCTTCAAGGACTGAAATAGGTCACACTCACCCTTTGGTAATTTTCCTATCCAATTCACCCCATGGGTGAGAAGTCGGGAGATTGAGGCGGTCAAGTCATAATTTCCAAAATTTTGATCCTTTTTTTTTTTTTAAAACACGAGGTAATTTTGACATAATTTAGAAGAATATTTTGGATCATTGTCTTGTTGAAAGGTGAATTTGTTCTCCAATTAATCGCATATACCAGAGAACATCGTATGTCTTTGCAAAATCGAATGATGTTGTTCTTTATCCATGGTTCACTTGAATCAAATCTCCCGCCCTTTTGGGAATTTCAAAATGTCTATTGAGGCGTTAATGGTGAAAAACAAAATATAATGTTTCTCATACAAAATATTCATAATTTAGCAAAATAGGTTTTGGACAGACGAAGCCAAATTTGAACTTTTTAGTAGTAAGAGGATCCTGAAGAAAGACTCAAAAAATAAAAACAAAGGAACCGACCCTCACTTTAAGTCCAGTAGAATCTAGTATAATTGCCTAAAACCATCAAACATTGGTCTATATCATTTTAAGTACAATTATTAAGTAGTCATTTAATTAAGTCATTTATTACATGATATCAATGGGAAACTGTTCCCTATTTTATACCAGTAGTATATTTTATTAATACTAGTTTAAACTATCGTTTTTTTTAGTCTCTTAGGTGTTCACGTGTGAGTCTTTAAATATACTTTTCCGGTTATTATATTAATGTGTAGCAATAACGGGGATTAGTTTAATACTTATTAACAACAGAAAAACAATCCCCAACTTTATGACCAGCTTCAGCTTATATTAATATATAGTAATTATAAGAGATCAATTTAATACTTAACAACAATAGAAAAACTATCCCCTTTATAACCAGTTTCAGCTTATTATATTAATGTTAATAATTATGGGGGTTCAGTTTAATATTTAATAACAATAGAAAAACGATCCCTCACTTTATTACCAGTTTCAGCTTATATTAATATGTAGTAATTATGGAGGATCGGTTTAATACTTAATAATAATACAAAAAAAAAAAAAACGATTCTCTATTTTAAGGTCATTAGAATCTTATATTAATGCTAAACCCTTGTTTTCTGTTTAGGATTGGGTTTTGAGTTCCTTCAAATGTCTTTTCCTTCTCTTTCGTTTCCAGTGGCCCCCTGGTGTTCCGGTGGTCTTGTCACCTTGCTTGCGTTGTTGCCTCTTAATTTGTAACCCTCTACCTTGAGTGGCTCTTGTGTCTTGTACAGTGTGAATATCATTGTAAAAACGAAAACTTGTCAGACCATCCAATAAAATATGATGGAATATTTTGTTAAATCCTTTCTATTATTAGAAGCCATTCAAGATGAAAGGGAATGAAATGGAGGCTAAAGGAAAGACAGAGTGAAGGAAAAAGAATGAAAACGAAAGAGACAAAGAAGAAAATGAATAACATGAATGAAAAAAAGTGGGTAAAAAAAAAGACAAAAAGAAAAAAAGGATAATGAAAAAGAGACAGAAAGAAGAATCATAAATATAGAAATGAAAAAGAAGAAAGTGAAGAAAGAAAAGGAATGAAAAATAAAGTGGAATGTGGAAAAAAAATACCGAATGATGGATGAAGAATGAATATGAAAGACACTGAAAAATAGCCTCCCCCCCCCAAAAAAAAAAACAATTGACGAGGAGAATGAAGGGAAGAAAAGACAAAGGGAAGAAAGAAGTCTTCAAAATAAACAGAAATTAAAAAAAAAATCTTAAAAATAATAAAAGCAAATGAAGAAAAGAAAATGAATGAAAAAGGTGTCGAAGGAAAGACAGAATAAAAGAAAAGGGATAAAATAAAATAGAAGGCAAAAATCACAAAAAAAAAAGAAGAAAAGTAAGAAAAATAAAAAATAAATAAAAAAGGGATATAAAAGGATATGAATGAAAGAGAGAAAAAGAAAGAATGAAAGTCTATGAACACCGCATTGAAATAAATAGCAAAGAAGATAAAAAAAAAAAAAACAAGGAAAGGAAAATGCTGGGATAGGAAAAAAGAAAGAAAAGAAAGACTCATTTTTCTTGTGAATTTTATTTATTTATTTATTTATTGTTATTACATGATATCAATGGGAAACTGATCCCCTATTTTATACCAGTATAATATTTTATTAATACTATTAGGTTGGTGTAAAAATAATGACGTAATAATGTCGTTTTTTGACGTTAAAAAATACATGAAAAAATGACATTATTACATCATTATTTTTGTACCAACCTATCGTTTCTTTTTAGTCTCTTAGGTGTTCACGTGTGAGTCTTTAAATATACTTTTCTGGTTATTATATTAATGTGTAGCAATAACGGGGATCAGTTTAATACTTATTAACAACAGAAAAACAATCCCCAACTTTATGACCAGCTTCAGCTTATATTAATATGTAGTAATTATGGAGGATCGGTTTAAAAGGAAAGAAAAATGGTGGGATAGTAAAAAAACAAAGAAAGAAAAAAGAAAATTGGATAAAAATCGTTAAGAAATAAATGAAGGAAAGAAAAATGTAGAAAGAAAGAAAAAGCAAAGAGAAAGATAGAATGAAAAATAAAACGAAGACATTTGGCAACACAGAAAAAGTCCAGAGGGGTAACAAAAATATCAGTTTGGAGGAGAGGGAGAATGTAATAGAAAATATTTTTGAAAAAATTACGGAAGAGGAGTAGAAAAAAGGGGGAAATGAAAGAAAGTAAAAGAAATCTGGCCAATGATTGCACAGAACTAGCAACTTACTCTCAGCCGACACAAATGTCTCTCCGGGAATTTGTGTCTCTAAATAGCGGAGTAAGTTCGGAGCCGGAAGCAGGAATGATGTCACCGGAAATGGCTTAGTCCCCGGATGTTATTTGTACCTTGGAAACTAAATGTTAAAGAAACGTTTTGTCGAAAAGAAATATTCCAAAAACATCCTTTTCTTCTTCCTGGATAAAAAAAAAAAAAAAAAAAAAGAAAAATGTTCGGTGTATTTTGACTTTGCAGCTTCTATCGAGCAATCGGCTACAAGTTAATGTTTACCAGAATTCTTTCACTGAATAATCAGCCATATTGTTTGGTATTGTTTCCCTTGAGAGCCGTAAAATGTAGATTCATTGACCGTTAATACTAACCAATAACTCCAGAACTCGTAACTCCAGAAATTCGATCTTAGTAGTCAGATGACATTTAGAAAGTTTAGAGTTAAAATGTGGCACAGAGATCCGAAGGTGTATAAATAAATATAAAGCAAGAGCAGCAGACCATATTTGGTGGTAATATTCGAGACATGGACGAATGGTTGAATTACAGAGATGTAATATAGATTAAGAGGAGAATAATTGACACAGGGAACCAACTTTATTAGTAGTAGAACTAGTAATGGACTCAATCGTTAAAAACAAAGAAGAGATCGCTGAACTGTTATGTTATATCTATCCTTTTGTATGGCAGTGAGAACGGGGCTATTTCCTCTCAGATGAAGAAGAGACTCTAAGAAACAGATATGTGGTTCTGCAGACGGCTACCATAGACAGAAGACGTGAGTAACGAGATGGGGAATTGAAACTAGAAAAAACACTCATACTTAAAGACAGAAAAAGAGACAGATGAAATCTCTGGACAAATTATGAAGAAAGACAGTTTAGAAAAATCCAACGATGGCTTCCCATGTCCTAATAATAAATCACATTTAGTTTAAAAGTGTTTTCCCTGATTGAAAAAGTGGGGATATAGCCGCGGAGGTAAGGGATTCATTTTCATTTGTAGGTTTTCTCAATCTCCTGATCACTAGACATCAATTCCACAAAGATCATCTTACCATTGGGTAAACTGGACTCCATAGCTATATATGCAGTCAGCGCGGCGATGACCTGATATCGGCCAGGAAGGAGGACTCCCCCGATACATTCAACAGGTCTTGCATGCTCGACCAAAGCTAACTTTTGGGTGGCATCGGCTGATTTTAACCTGGAAATGGATTGGGCTCCGACAGGTATACTTGTCCAGCTCACCGTTACACATGAATTAATACTTTTTCCGGCTTTCAACCTATATATGTAGCGGGTACTGGTCAGACGCTCAGCTGCGCAATAACCCTACAACCACATCCGGTCATAGGACTGATGATCATGATTCTTATGGAGAAGTGTTTGCAGCGAAGAGAAGGACCAAGGGAACACTGCGTTCTAATGCGTACTCCCTTCATTACAGACATCATGTCATTTCAGCGATGAAATTTATTTGTTTTTTGTTTTTTTGTCGTTAAGAAGACAGAGCTCAGGGATAGATAGTTTCATGACTTTCAAAAGAAACCTCAGTTGAAATTTGAGCTCGGGGGCTGAAAACCTTTACACTACCTCCCCACATCCTTTGATTTCCCCTATTTTTCTTTTTCTCGTAGGAATTTCTTTTATTATCAAGTGCTATTATTTGAGCAACTTTTCCTTTTAAAGTTCATTAACTGAACGCCATTTTAAATACTTGTCTGATTTTCTTTTACCGAACCTCTTTTCCGTCGACTTCAGTCAGTTTCTTTGCATTTACTAATTGCATTAAAGTGTAAAGATTACTTTGCCGCCTGTCTGTCTGTCTACCTGACTGTTTGTCTGTCAGGTAACCAACTATAACTCTTTAACAAAAACACTAAAGAACTAACCTCAAATTTGTTACGAGTGATGTATCGCGTATCTGCGAATGCACACGAGAAAAATGTTTTCTTATAAATTTAGTGCAAAACACACAGAGAATAAGAAAAAAAGAAAGAAAGAAAGAAAGAAAGAGAGAAAGGGAAAATCCTTGAATATTTAATCATCACTATCACTACCATTATCGCTGTCGTGTTCACTATATTATAAAAATTCATAGCGATTTCGTAACAAAAAGAAAGAAAGAAAAGAAAAAAGAAAGAAAGAAAGAAAAGAAGAAAGAAAGAAAAGAAGAAAGAAAGAAAAGAAGAAAGAAAGGGAAAATCCTTGAATATTTAATCATCACTATCGCTACCATTATCGCTGTCATGTTCACTATACTATAAAAAGTCATAGCGATTTCGTAACAGAAAGAAAGAAAGAAAGAAAGAAAGAAAGAAAGAAAGAAAGGGAAAATCCTTGAATATTTAATCATCATTATCGCCGTCATGTTCACTATACTATAAAGTCATGGCGATTTCATAACAAAAAGAAAGAAAGAAAGAAAGAAAGAAAGAAAGAAAGAATGATATAAACTGAGGTGAGGATAGGACAGACTAAACGCCATGGCGAATTCAGAACTAAAGAAAAAAGAAAGAAAGAAAGAAAGAGAGAGAGAGAGAGAGAGAGAAAGAAAGAAAATCCTTGAATATTTAATCGTCATTATCACCGTCATGTTCATTATACTTCTTGTGGTGTCCTCCCTCAAAAGAGTCTATGTTAGACTCTTCCACCTACTATAAGATTAGTAGGACAGAAAGCTTCGGAGAACAGTGAATCGATTGTTCAACTGTCCAACTCTGTCTCGGCAGAGAGGAACTCGGACGAGGCTTTGCCGCAGAACAAAGTTTCGTCCGGGGAGGTAAACAGTCCCTGAACCCGTTTAGGCGGGTTCAAAGGAAATATTTTTGGCCGAGCCTACGGGCTCGAAATACCCACAATAAACCGGCCTTGTGGCATATACACCCTCGTGGGGGGGGGGCTGTTAAATATAACAGTGAATAGATTGAGTGCTAGTTTATACGATACACTCTCACTAGTCGTGTAATACTCTTCTGGTGTACTTACTGTTTAATATACGATATATCTACAAACCTGGTTTTTGTTACTACTTAACCATTTACTTGGTCACAACAATACTATAATTCATCTTTTTCTATGTGTCATATCCCTGCAGGACGTGAGCGATCATGGCTCTCCACAACTTCCTATCTTTTCCGGCTCTTAGTAAGGTGTGTCTTTTTGCTATCCCTCATAATGCCAACCATTCATACTAGCTCATTTCTCTTTGTAAATGTTTGACACTTACCTCTCTGACCAATAAGTAGAAGTTGTGAATTCAGATATGTGTATACGAACGAAGATTGATTTGTTTGTTTAGCGGCACATCAATTCCTCATGGGTCATTTAATGCCGAAATGTAATTTTCTTGGGAGCTTTGAAATAATAAAAATAGGATGTTATTCTGCTTTCACAATTGAATACATGGTAAATGATACACAGATTTTATGCATATACATTTTTGTGTGAACATAATTACTAGAGGCAGTGATATGTGCCTTTTATGTTGTAGTTTTTTTTAAAGTTATATTTTGGAAATTGTAGGATGACTTAATGTCATGAAGGAGTTCTTTCATTTTGGTTGATGCATTGTTGGTAATTTTACTATAAATATATATTGTTGGTATTTTTTATATAAAAATGTATTGCTGGTGATTATACTATAAAAATGTAATTTTATACTTTCATAAGGTTTTGCTTTTGTTTTGGGCGTTAACTATTTGTCTATAGCTGGGATCCTAACAGGTGCTATCACTCCAGGTCAGAGTGAAGCTGGGAACACCAGCAATTAAGAGGTGGTTCCACGCTCATCAAAACATCCAATCTCCTAATCAGAGGACTTTCTGCCTGATGTTGTGAAAAAAAAAAAGAATTTAAATAAAAGACAGTAAAGTACTATACAAAGATATAAAGTACTATACAAAAGAAAATATAAAATGAAATAAAAGTAAAAGATAAAATAAACCAAAAACTACGCATGCGCCAAAGACCTTTCTCTTTTTGTAGATTGGCGTCGATTAAGATAGGAGTTATCTATCAAAAATTTTATAACGTTCTCTCTATCACCCCTGGATAGGTGTGAGGTAAAACATCAACGTACCAGGTTTTTACAGCGTATTACTTATCTTGGCATATCGTCTACAATCACAGTGATAAAAATAACGAAATTTCAGCATCCCCTCGCCCTTGTGCGCATGTGCAGATTTTTATAAATATAAACATCACTATTTCAGTATAAATGTCGATATTAGCTATCGACATGTATTTAAAATAAATGAGTTTTAAAAATCTCTTAAAAATAAA